TGTGGCCAGCGGGACTACAGAGTGCCATTTTACCTTCCCACCGAGGTGGTACCTATTTATCTACTTGGATTTGCTTGCTTTTGAACTGCTAGGTTGGCAAGGAGCTGGGACAAAGCGACGGGAGCTCATTACGTCGCACGGATTCGATCTTATGACTGCTGGTCTTCTGACCCTGCAGCACAGGCTTCTGTGGTTTAGCCCACAGCGCCACCACATCCCAAATTCATAATATAAGCCCTACCCCAAAAATAAGCCCCAGTAAAGTGGAACCCTGCCCTCCATTCTTGTGCAGCAACCAGAAGAAGATGACATGACTGTAAAGTAAAACATCACCTGAAAATACAGTGGACCCTCGACTTAACAGACGGCTCGACTTACAGACTTTTCGAGTTACAGACTTCTCTGGCTGCAAAATTTAGATTCGACTTGCAGCCAGAGAATCGACCTACAGACCAGAAAAAAACCAAAATGGAACAAAAATAGAATAAAAACTGCCAGTTGTGGGATTAATCGGTTTTCAATGCATTGTAGGTCAATGGAGATTCGAACTAGACTTTTCGACTTGCAGCCACCGTTCCAATATGGATTAATTCCGTAAGTAGAGGGTCCACTGTAAGCCCTAATAGGTTTTTGGAGCCAAAATTAATGTAAGACCCTGTCTTATTTTCGGGGAAACATGGTATAAAGAATCATTGTTCCTGGTATAATCTTAATATTCACAAGCAGATGAAGTTTCATTTGTAGAGTAATTTCTCAGATTAGTTTTATAGTTATATTAAATAAAATACTGATTTGATTATACTATTAGAAACACATCACAGATAGATCATTTCAAAATTATTGTGAATGAACTATCTCTGGTTTAACAGGTTGATCATTCATATTGGGACATTTCTGCTCTGCTTTACTGGAAGAAAAAAATAATCATTACCTTAATAAAAATAGTTTTATTTAACTAAAACAATAACAATATAGCTTATGTATTCGTGTACTTATTTAAACATCCATGTTTGCTATCTGATGTGGTTAAAGAACAGGTTAGTTACCAATGACCGAGTTTCTGAGTGGTCATTCGTAAAGTCACATATCTGGGTGTGTCACATGCATGCACAGAAGCCTCAGAATGTTCTAGAGAGCTTTAGATAGAAAGACCATTAGTTAACTACCCCTCCCACAGCACATGTACTGGAGCACAGAGGCCAGCACTATCAATTCACAGACTGACAGACACTGAAAGAAGCAAGGTGGCAGACCAGTGTGACAGCCCAAGAGGAGGAAAGTGGGTTGTGTGACTTCATGGATGACCACTCAAAGAACTAGTTATCGATAAGTGACTTCTTCCTGTTCATGGTCTCCATGAATCACACACATATGAGTGAGCAGCAAGCTCAATTTCTGGCCAGTGAAATGTCATGCCAGCAAGGAAGACCCAATTACCCTCATATGCAGCAGATAATGTCTCACAAAGGTCAAAGGCTGCGTCCAAGTGACAGTCTTGTACATATCTGGCAACAAAACACCTCTCAGAAAAGCTGTGGAAGATGAGAAGCCAAGTAGAATGAGCTTTGATTGGTTACAGAAGTGGTTACTTGGCAAGCTGGTAGCAGACTGCTATGGTGCCAGCAAGCCATTTGGAAAAACGCTGCAGTGTGATCTGAGAGCTCTTTGAGAAGAAGCCTAAAAGCAGTCTATTAGTCTCTCAGAACAAACTTGTCTGGAATGTACACAACGTAAGCACTCTGAACATCCAATGTATGAAGTGTGTGTTCCAGAGGTGTTTTGGGAGACGGGAAAAACATAGGCAGAATTAGGGGTTGGTTCAAATGGAAGTCTGTAACAACCTTGGGAAGGAATGGGACGTTAGAAAACGCAATAACTTTATTTATTTATTTATTTTTAATTTAATTTAATTTACCGCCCCATTAGTGCCGAAGCACTATTCTGGATGGTTTACAAGTGGTTAAAACAAACTACATAAAGCAATACACACTAAATTACTAGACAAATAACAGAAGCATAGTTTAAAAAACTTAACAATCAATGGTGCAAACCAATTCTCAGACTGAAGCAAGGCATTCAAATGGGGTCGATGTGAAAGGTCTCTAAGTAGTGCTTTTAACTGCTCATAAATGAGTACAGGGAGGGAGCCAGTGTAGCTCATCTAGGAGCTGATTCCATAACCTTCGTAACACCGCCAAGAAGGCCCTACTTCTAGTAGAAGACTTTCAGGACTCTCTTGGGGTGGCTACATGGAGGAGCCCAGCTTGAGAAGTTCTGGTGGGTCGGGCAGATGACATTGGGGACGAAGTTCTGGTGGGTCGGGCAGATAACATTGGGGAAAGATGCTCCAGTGTTACAGGGTCAAATTGAACCAAGGACTGTAGGCTGACAGAGAGGGTGCAGCAGTGGTTCCCCCTGTCCCCCCCCCCGGTCAGCTAAACTGCTGGTGGAGTAGAGATCCGCATGGATGGCCTCAATTTTGCAAATGGATCACTAGGAAAAGTCAAAACAAGGCTGTGACTGACCAGGGGCGTGCAGGGCCAAGGCAAGCTGTGCATCCCAAGTTGTAGAGGCAGCAGTGAGTTGTGCAGCACAAGAGTGAAATGGGTCATTTCAGTGCCAATGCTTAGTGCCAGAGTCTGATCCTGAAGTGGCTAGATAGAATGGACAAGAGTCCCAGTGCCAATGTCTGACTGACTCCTAAGTGGAGGGTCGGTGTCAAGGGCTGGCATAATACATCTGCTTACTGTAAGTGCTGGCGGCAAAATAGATGGAAGCTGGCAGTGTCTGTGCCTTGATATCAGAGGTTCCATCAATTCCAAAGCGGGAGTTGTGGATTTTAGTGTAGGGTGCTGAGATAAGGTGCCAATGGAGCCAGCAAACAAAGTCAAATCTGAAGACTTGGATGGCAAATGCCTCTGTATAGTGTGATTTTGTGGGCAGGAGATATGGCCTGCTTGGGGGTCTTGATGCCAAGAATGCATCAGAGCCTGGACCAATCTGCTCAGTCCTGGGCAAGTGCAGGGCAGGTGCATGCAGTAAAGTAAGACATTGAGGAGAACCAAGGCATTCTTATGCCTGCTGTAGCCCAGTGGTTCTTAACGTGGACAATAATGCCCCCAGGGGGCGATTTCATTTTTTTCAGGGGGGCAGTAGAACGAAAAGGGGCAGTGTGGGGGCGATAGAACAGAAGGGGGCGGTAGGGGGGCGCTGGAGCAAGCCAAACCTGTGAAGGCGACTGCAGTCGCAGTGCTGGCAGTAGATCCGGTGCTGCTGCTGCCGTCAGATGATCCAGCTCTTTCTCCCTGCCACATCTCGCCTTTCTCCTTTAGGGGAGCACTGAGAGTGGATCGGGCGGAAGGAAAGGGTCTCTTGGGTCTTCAGCCTCGCCCCGTGAAGCGCTGCCTCGCACGCGGGGGGGGAGGGAGGGTAGGGAGGTAGGTAGGTAAGATATCATCACCTCAGGGAGGGGGGTGATGATAACTTCCTCAATGGCTCAAGGGGGCGTTTCTTTCAAAAAGGTTAAGAACCACTGCTGTAGCCTACTCTGGCTAATATACAAGCGGGTACAGTGCCAGGTAGAAGCATGGATCGGTATTTTATTTTATTTTTTTGGTTCTGTACTGCAGATGGGTATGGACCATCTGTGGGAGCACTAATGGAGGTGGTCTGCCTGATACTGAGGAGTGTGCCTGTTCCGACAGTGGAGAGTGCCAACTATGTCAAGTCTTGCATGAGCTCTTCCTTGGATTCTGACTTCTCATGGCGGATGTTGAGTCAAGGGAAGATTCTTGTGTATCGACAGATGGTGAATGGGATCACTGTGGTGACTGCTGCAGTGGAGAAAAGTGACTCAGTGAGCACTGAATAGAATGAGACCAGTCAGGAGACTGGCTGAACACAGAAGAAGAAACAAGTTCCAGACTTTTGGTGTCAGATGGTGGTGTGTTCAGGGAGATGGCATTGAAGGGTTGGTAACCAGTTTCTGTATTTGCTGGCATGGGAGGTGTGGGTGTGTAGGTGAGAGGCTGAGATGTGTTGGTTTTAGATTTATGTTTGTTTGTTGCTTAGGTAGAAGAGGGTCCTTCTTTCTTTTCTTGTGATGGTGTTGAACTGCTTTAGTGTCGAAGTGGGTTTTGATACCAAAGTTGTTGGGCCCAAGGTAGAATTGTGTTCAGCAGCTGTAGACTGGGGTTTCTCTTAGTGTTTGCTGGGGTCAGAGGAAATGGTGGAGCTCTTTTCTTGGTGTTGTCCAGAATCAGAGGGCCTTGCTGAGAGTAGATTTGGAGTGAGACTGACACTCATCTACAGGTCTCGTGAGTGCACATGGTACTAAAGCAGGCGGTACATCACGACCTCTCCCAATTTGAAGAGGCACTTGTCCAGCAGGCCGAGGCAAAGAGGCAGTCCCGAAGCAGCAAAATCAGGGAGCTGGACAGGGAACAGATTGTATTTGTCCTCATTGTGGAAGGGATTGTCACTCTCAAATTGGCCTTCTCAGTCACACTAGATGGTGTTCCAAGTCCTCCATACAGAGCACGTTACCATAGTCTCTCGAGACTAAAGGTTAAAATTAATCCTTTATTCCATGATGAATAACCCTTGGACTATAATGTATTTTAAATAGAAATTTATCTTAAAATAGGCTTTTCCTCAAAAGGTTTTTTAAACAACCAAATTTAAATTTTAAAAAAAGTTATTTAATTTTAAAAATAAATAATTGGTTTTTTACTCACCCTGGTGCAAGGTAATGCTGTATCTGTATTACAAGCCAGAGAAACTGTTAAGATACAATTTAAATAGAAAGGTAGGGAGAGAGATTGAGAGTGAGAGAGGGTGAGAGAGAGAGGGGTCCAATGCCATGAAGAAAAAATGATGTCTAAAAATTGCACATCTGCTTCGGAGATCATGTCTGTTTTCTCAACACAGACTTGCTTAACCTGCAGAGATTCATTACGCATTTTAGAAACATAAGAGATATATCTTATTGCCTACTGTACCTTTATCAGGAATTCTTTTGGGGATGGTAAAGTTTTTTAAATGCTTTTGTTCAAGCAAAAATAATCCTTTTGTAGCTGATGCTACGTTTTTCCATTTTCCTTCCATCTTTGGTTCCACTTCAGTTTTGTCTTCAACCTACATTAGGAATGAAAGGCAGAAACTATTATGTGTAACTTGTGCTTGTCAACTACTTGGTTGGTTTTTAAAACCATACATCTTTGCAGTTCTGTTTGACTGTTTCATACTTCTACCGTGTGACTTTCAAATTCACAACTAAGTTTTGAAAAATTGCAAAAAAATTTCAGAAGTGGGGACTTCAACAGAAACAGCCATTAGATAAATATTATTCTGAGGCCTCATTACATTTTTCTAGTGGCAACATTACATTAAGATTTATAAATCTGACCCTTAACAGGAAAACCTCTTGAGGTGAAGAAACTGGTGGCAGACTGTTATCTAAGAACTAGTCACTAGAGGGAGGTACAATACTTGTTTCCCAACCAGAACAAAAAACATCTTAAAATAACTTAAAAGTGTTCAAAAGTATTAATTCCTTTTTACTTTTTAAAGTATTAAAAAGTAAAATTTGACCATAAATAATAAAAAGGATGCACATGAGCAGCAAAGGGAGTTAACGTTTTGAATATTAATACATTTCCACACATTAGTACTATTACTATTTACCACAGAACATTGTTGTCAATTATTTTTTAATTTAAATCATAATTTGAATCAATTTGATTTTTAAAAAGCATTGATTCTATCCACCCTGTTGACTACAAACCTGTGATCTTAAATTAATTTGATTTAAATCAAATCCACCCTGTCAATCATATGTATTTCTAATTTTGATTAACTGTATAATGGAAAAGAGAATATAGAGCTAATGAAACATTTATAGGGCTAATGTTTCTTGATGACAACTCAGTCAATGATTCAACATTTCACATAGCCATCACCAACAGTGGTGCCTCTACTTACGACCATAATCCGTTCCAGAAGATGGGCGTAACTCGAAATGGTCGTGAGTCGAAGCACCATTTCCCATAGGAATACATTGAAATCCCATTAATTCATTCTGGCCAGAAAATAAAATTCCAATAAAATAAAATAAAATAAAAATAAAACACTACAAGCCCCATAGGAATGCATTGGGGCTGAAAAACAAACATACCAAAACAAAACAAATATAAACACAGCCAGCCCCAGCGGAATGCTATGGGGCTGGGAAAAAACACTCAAAAAACCGACACACACACACACACACAGCCAGCCCCAGCAGAAAGCCATGGGGCTGGGAAAACACACATAATCAACCTATACACATAGCCAGCCCCAGCGGAACGGCATGGGGCTGGGCAAAAAAACACAACCCCCCACAGCCAGCCCCAGCGGAATGCCATGGGGCTGGGGGGAAAAATACAAAAACACTACACACACACACAATACCAGCCTGATCGCGATGGGGCTGGGAAAAAACATCACAGCACAGAAACATATCTCTACGCAAAAACCCAAACCCACCCTGCAAAACAAAGTAAATGTACTTACTTAGGAGCAGAAAGCAGCTCCAGGCAGTCCGAAGCCTCTTCCGACGCACTCACTCTAACCATTGGGGCAAAAGAGCTACAAAGAAACAGCCTCTTCGCCTACCAACAGTTAGCAAATTTGAATTCCCCGCCTTTTTTCTGTCGCAAGTTGAAGCTCCGGCCACAAGTCGAAGTAAAATTTTGCGGCTGGAGCTGGTCGCAACTCGAAATGGTCGCAACTCGGGACATTCGTAAGTCAAGGCACCACTGTATGCCAAATACATTTAAGCACTTACAGTGGTGCCTCGCATAGCGACGATAATCGATGCAGCAAAAATCGCTGCAAAGCGATTTCGTCGCTATGCGATATTAAAAAGCCCATAGGAATGCACTGAAACCCCTTCAATGTGTTCCTATGGGCTTAAAACTCACCTTAAAGTGAAAATCCTCTATATGGCGGCCATTTTCACTGCCCGGTAAGGGAGGAATCCATCCCAGAAAACAGCGGGCAGCCATTTTGGAACTGCCATCAGTTGTTAAAAAATCATCGCTTTGCGATGATCGGTAATTGAAACAGGGTACCGATCATAGCAAAGCGATTTTTCCCCATTTAAAACATTGCAATGAGATCGCAAAAAGTTAATCGCTATGCGATTTCATCGTTAAATGGGGCACCCGTTAAGTGAGGCACCACTGTATATGAAAATCCTATTTCATTTATACGTTTTTACATTCTGGCACCAAAATGCCAAAGCTGTACTGGTATCTTTTCTATCTTAGTCAGATTCCAAAGAATTGGAAAGTACTTGTTTGGGGTGTTTTTCCATGTTTTCTAATGTACTGACAAATATTAAACAGGTGTTAGTGGTTGTAGGGCGAACAGACTACAATGGTGCAATGTCCCTCTCCCCACTCAGACAAGTACTGTTTAAAGCTCCACCTGGCCTCAAACAAGCCTTTGTAGGCCATGTGCAGGCTTCGAAGTGGGAGGAGGGCGCTTTAGAAGTGGGAAAGAATAACATGCCTTTCTCTCCAGCCCTTCTTTCTGTATTGCTATGTTGAAATTATGGGAGTTTCAGTTGCAGATTTTGTAGTGGTGATATACATTTGGGGGACAGACAACTGAGGAGACTGGGCCTTACTGGGCCCATGCAATGGATGACTTTTTAAAACCTCCCAGCATGCATCCTGTCTGCAGCCTTAGGAACTCCACTCCTATTTAGGACATTGAGCCATGTTAATTTATCCTTTTACCACTGTTCTTTGTGATACTTTCAGGAGGGCTGTTTTAATGCACATCTTAGTATCCTGTATCTTGGGCCAAAACCAAACCTTATAAGTAGATAATAACTGAGGCAGTCTTTCCATGCTGGTGAAATCAGACTTCAGAGGAATCTCATACTTAAGTTCGAAAGACCAATCAGCAAACAGAGCAAGCCACTTTCCATAATCCTGGAAGTGAGAGAAGCTTGTGCTGTGACAGATATTTGCATTATTTATTTTTCTTTTACAGTCACGGGCTACATCTAATATCTGCTTCTAGCCTCAAAAGCTCACAACCACAGACTTAACTAATACCATTCAGGGAGTATGTGCCTGAATTTTGGTTCAAGATCAAGGTAAGCAACATCTGAAGGTTAGAAAGCCATTTTAACCCTAGTTTGGAACTCCAAGGGCTGCACCTCTGAACTACACTCAAGTTAGCTTCAGATTTTAATTTTGCATCTCCTTGAGGCCTCTTAGGGAGACAATTTGCCATATTTTTCCGTGTATAAGACGCCTCCCCTCTTTTCTAACCCAAAATTTCTTTCTTTGCAAGAAAGTGGAGGGGGAAGGCACGGGTCAGAGCGCTTTGATTCCTGCTTTCCCCCTTCACTTTCTTAGCAAAAAGCTGCTTCCCCTCCACTTTTTGCAAAGAAAGTGAAGGGGGAAAGCAGGAATCAAAGCGCTCTGATCCGTGCCTTCCCCCTCCACTTTCTTGCAAGGAAAGTGCTTTCCCCCTTCACTTTCTTTGCAAAAAGCTGCTTTCCCCCTCCACTTTTTGCAAAGCGTTTTGATTCCTCCCCCTCCTTACTACCGTGTATGAAACGGCCCTCAATTATTTTAGGAAAAAGTGTCATTTTATACACAGAAAAATATGGTACTTTTTTAAACTGCCAACCCTGTCCATTAAAGGGCCTGTTTTACAAACAAGAAATTAATTTCCTGTAAGGGGCGCAATTTGCCATTTGACAGCAATTTCTTTTCTGGAATGTTAAAGGTATGGGGGTGCCTGGAGGCCCCAAGACACTGCATGAAGCTCTTGGGATTAACAATCACCAGCATTTTGTAAGCCTACAGGTACTACCAGGCTCTGGGGTTTAAAATTATTTTTCTTTCACTTTTCTCTGGTATTAATGTCTCTGAAAAAGATCCGATCTAACTTTTATTTTAAAACATTAGGTTCTTCCACGGATTTCTTTCAATTATTTTAAACACATCTTTCACAATTAATAAGTATTTCTCTTTTTAACACACCAGCTTCTGAAACTCTTGACTGAAGCCACTACCTCTAAATCCATTTAAAATCACAGGGAATATGCAGATTAATTCACTTGTGAAGATATTTGATACTGAAAAGATAACATGTTTGTACTCTGCTGAGAAAATCCACCAAAACCCCTCTCCATGAAAATGAATTTCAGAATATGAAATCATATTTTAAAAATTGGATACAGCTTAGTATCAATAAATGAATTTGTATTTTCGTCTCAAAAATGTTTCACTATCCATTTGCAAAAAGAGAGAGGTGCTTTATTGTTATTTACTTATTTAACTTATATGCCACCCACTCTAACCAAAGGTCTCTGGGCGGCTTACAACAATTAAAATACAATAAAAAGATAAAACAATTAAAATACCATTAAAATAGATACTCTAAAAATTGCCATCAATACCTACAGTTAATGTGCCACTTACAACTTATAGTGATTCAAAGTTTTCAAGGTGTGTACGACGTTGAAAGAGTCGTTTACCATTGCCATGCAAATGACTTATTTATTTATTTATTTATTTAGTTAGTTAGTTAGTTAGTTAGTTAGTTAGTTAGTTAGTTGATTTATATCCCGCCCATCTGGTATATTCTACCACTCTGGGCGGCTACCAACAACATATATTCATTAAAATAATACAAAACCATTGACTTTCCATGCTAGTGCATTGATTTGAACCCAGAACTCCTGAGTCATAGTCAAACATTCCAATCACTACACTACATTAGCTCTCAAGCCATTATATTGCACAACGCAGGAGAAAGAACATTAACATGTGAAGATAAATTAACCAATCCTTTTGTTGATTCAGTTATTAGGATCTCATTACCAGATGTGCCAGTTGGGTTTTCCTGTCTTCCCTCACTAGCAAGAGGCGGAAGCACAATCTTTTTCAAATGACTTATACAATTAAAAGGCTAGGCAATCCAGAAACATATGCAGGTCCTATAAAATCAGTAATTTATGTACAGTATCATTTGTCAAGATAATATAAAGTTTTCCAAACATTTCGTTTTTTTGAAAAGCCTATTCTAGAAGAAACAACATTAAAGAAACTGCTATACAGTTTATTTATTTAATTAAACTTATATACTGCCCATCTAGAACGTGTCTACTCTGGGCGATTTACAAAAAATATAAAAAATAAACTATGAAGGTACTGTATAAATGAACTAAAGAGACAACCCAAATTAACAGCAGAATCCAAGATGGAAAAAGAAAAAAAGAAAAATAGTATACTAGTATAATAATTTAAAAATCAAAACTATTACTTTAAAAATCTTGTTACTGCTGCTTAAAAAAAGAAACCTTAATGCTGCTTCATCTTGTTGCTACACTGCTCTTTTTTTTCTTCATTCTACTTTAGGTAGTGTCTGAATTCTTATGAAGGTTTACAATGAAAATACACTAGACTTGGAAATCACAATCACAGACAACTCACATAAAAATTTATTCCGGGTTATTGTCTCCTCACCGCTATGTAATCTTCCTTGGTTTCAGCTCGGAGGAGGAGGCTGATTTTGTTGTCAGAAATCCTTGCCAATGGCACAAATCCTACTAAGAGTTCTCTATTTACATTGCGAACTTCAGTGAGTGTAATACCATATATGATTTCAAGTTCAACAATGTTTGTACATTTACTTGATGAAGCAAAGTATGTACAGTCTTAAAACCATCTACCAGGGAATAAATCCCACTGAATTTGGTGAGGATTATTTCCCAGTAACTACAGATAAACCTGAATTTCAAGATAATTTCACTATTCTACACAATCTCCCAATAAGCAATTCAGCAACAAAGCAAAGAGGCTGGGGACACTCTATGTACAATATCTTATCTCCAACTGGTTATCCATTAAAGAGCTGTGAATCACCGGGATAACTGCCCTATTTCAGTGTACAGATAGGAGTTAAAATGAGAATTCAGTTTTAAGCATCTGCAGTACTGACTGACTGTTGAGGGGCAAAGAATTTATTCCAGGTAAGGCAAGAACACAAAAAAGTGAAAACTTCTGCTAAAAGGTCCCAAAACACCATCTCAGGTAACCACAACACAGCACTCGAGAAGGGAAAAGGGGGGGGGGGAGGAAGCCGTCAACCAATCCATTCAAATATTTCTTATTTTTTACAGAAAGAGATGCCTAGGTTTGAAAGTTTGAAAATTTCACCCTTGGAAGCCTTTCCTGCTCTTAATTAGTACTCAGGGGTACTTATACTCTTTTTTGGCACATCCCATTACAGTACATCNGCTCCCACGCACAACAAAGGGGGGGGGGGGGGGAACCAGGTCCAAAAACGTCTCTACCCACTATATACCAACCAACGAAATCCCTGACAGGACGTGAAGAGCTCCAACCGACGAAGAAAAACGGTACCACCTGTGACGACCGACAACGTCGCCGAAAGGGGATGAACTTCGGAAACCGCAAACGAGACGCTAGAAACGAAAACTCGTCCCCCAAGCTTTGAGGGAAACGGACCCGGCCCGAGGCAGGCAACCGGGCGGACCCTATAAGAAGAGACAGAAGCGGTTGACCCTCTCCTGACGCGGGGCTTTCGCCAAAAGCAAGCGAGTCGAACCCACGGAGCCACCGGGACGCCTCGGGCGGTTGGTGCCTTACCAGTCCCAACAGAACCTCCAGCCTCGGGACCAGTCTACTGTACTGTATTTGCCCGTCGCCCAGCAACCCCCCCCGCCCCCAGCGTTCCCTTTATTTATGCAACCCTTTATTGCGATCTTGACGACGCCTCCGGAACGAGCAACCGCCGTTGCCCGACCGAGGAGTTATTAGATCAATGCTGTTTTTTTTTTAAATCGCTTTTTACTTTTATGTATCGCTGTTAGCCGCCCAGAGTAGACTTAGGTCTAGATGGGTGGGGTACACACTGAATGAATGAATGAATAAATGAAGAGCCCGGGGGGGTGGGGCAGAGCGCTTCCAGAAACCAGCGGGCGCCTTCTTCCGAGTTGGTGGGTTGGCACTACGACCCTGCAAGGGGTTGGAAGGGAGAGGTCGAGGGCAAACACGGGTGTTGCCTTCGGTGGTCAGAGCAAAGCCTCTCATTTTTTTGGGGGGGAGAGAAATGTGCAGGAAGAGAGGGCGCGCAGGAGCGGAAGGCTCGCCTTTTCACCCTTCTGGTCCAAAAAAACGACCCCGGAGCGGGAGCCCCTTTTGAACGCTGCCCCTTCCTCCGAATAACGAGAAAGGAAGGCGCGGCGGGTGTGTGCGCGCGCGCGTGTGTCACTCACTCTCAAGTTCGGTCCACGCCGGTCCTGCCCCGTCAGAAGGAAGCGTCGTCGTCTGGCCACGGGTTCCTTCTTCTTCTTTTCCTCGCCCGTTCTCCTCCCTCACGCCTCAAGTTCTCCTCTCGTCTCCGAACTCTCTACCCCCTCCCTTCCCCCCCCCNNCTGTAACCTCCACGGGACTGAGGAAGAGCTGCTTCTCGGTCCCTGCCGCCCTCGGCCCATGCCCACAACTAACTGCCCCACTACCACCTCCCTCAACACAACCCGGGACGGAGGCCCCGCCCCCCCTCCGCCACGCGCCGTAAGAAGTCAAGGGAGGGAAGCGCGCGCGGGAAGGTCCGGGATTCTTCGCTCCGCTCCTTTCCGACCAGGCTTCTGTCCGTCGACTCGGGGAAAGTGCTCACCTCTCAGGGAAAGCGCGGGGCCGCCTCATTGGCAGATGGGTTTTTCTTTTTTTCTTTCTTTCTTTCATTTGGCCCTAGGTCGCAACTCACGTTAAGCTGGAAAGCAAACGGAAAAGGAAAAAAAACAAGGGGGAAAAAAGCCTTGGTGGCCCTTGTGCACAGCCCCCGAAGAAGTCTGCCTGATACCCTTTATTAGAGCGCACACACAAAAAACCCACACCAACGCCTAATATGAAGCAGAAAGAAGCCCTCTGCTCGAGTTGTGTTCATTCCTCAGTTGGCGTTGTGATCTTGCAACCAGTGCAAGAACTGGGAGATGAGGCGGAGCCTGCCAGACATCGAGGGGAAGGTTTACACACGATTTCGTTTCTGCCTTGTATTTGGGCAAGTGCTTACTGGCCAATTGTTTAAAAATTTAAAATGGGCGCCGCTTGATGCCTGTTAAGCAATGCAAACCCTAACGTTAACCTCCTCTTGAAGTCGGATTCAAAGGGCCTGTCTGTTCTGCACAATATACCTGACTTAAAAATGTCTTCGCTCCTCACCCCCCCACCTAGGAACAGGACGTTTTTTGAGGGTTGATTTCTTGGGCTTTCTTGACTCCCTAACTCTTGTTGCTGCTGTTTCATTCTCCTCCCACTTCACCAAAGTCTGAAAGTTGCCTTTCTCCATTGTTTTTTTTAGCACCACTGAGCTATTGTATCTATATTAAGACGAACAAGAGCTGTATGGACAATGTCCTATATCACAAGCTGCTCTTTGCCCATAGAGGGAAAAGACAGTTCATCCTGTACAGCAGGACCCTTGCACATGTGGGATCAGTATCCACTACATATTTCACTTATTCACAGTCTGGAAACTATTTTCACGTGTATTTACCGCAAGAGGCTGCCAGACCTTGCTAGGAATACTTGTTAGTGAAGAATAAATAGCATGCTCGCTAGAGGCCAGTGCTGGTAATACATGTGGAAAAAAATTGCCCGCCCCCCCTCTTTTATCATGCTATACGTATAAAGGGCCATGGAACCGATCTTTAGCAGTAATGGGCAGTCATGCTCTATTCACTGAGATTAAACCTGATACCTTCACCTGATGCAGCAAATTTAGAGTATCCATTTTGGGACTTTGCTTTAATACAGGCTCCCTCAAAGCCAGGCTCTCTAATGGCTCAGATAAGGGACTGGCCATTTCACATTGTGAGGCCTTTGACTGTTTGGAATTAAGGGTTTTTAAATAATGTAAGGAATAACATACCTAAAAATAAAACTTTTTAAATAGAATGTGTGGCATTCTAATTTTATTTTGCCTTATACAGTATTTCCGCTTTAGACTGAGGTGAGTCCTGGGCCAAATAGCCTTGCTGCCCTACCAATAGGGCAGCCTTTTTCAAGCCATAGCCCCCTTTTATAATAATCAAGTAACCTGTGACCCCCCACCATATTTACATAAAAAGGCATTTTAATGGAGTAAAGAAACATATTAAAATAGATTTTTCAGAATATAATTTTACATTAATATATTAATATTGATATAATAGTAAATAATTATGGGAAGAGCTGTAAATGTATGCCTCAACCACATACAATTTTAGAAAGAAATTTGTCAATACATTTTTAGTTTACTGTATTTTCCCGTGTATATGATACTTTTGTCGTCTTATACAGAGAATTAAGCTGAGGAGAGAACAAAAACAAGGGGATGGGAAAGCAGGGATCAAAACACTTTGATCCCTGCTTTTGTTTTGTTAATGCTTAGCAAGTGGAGGGGAAAGCAGGGATCAAAGCGCTGCAGATTCGCTTTCCCCTCCACTTGCTAAGTCCCATAGAGTTTAGCAAAAGAAGGGAGAAAAGGATCAAAGTAATCCCGCGGCTGCATGAGGGGGAAGGGATTAAAGCAATCGTGCAACCCACGGGACTTAGCATGAAGGGAGAAAGCATCCACCCACTGTCTATTTCACCATTTCCTTTGCAGTGCTTGGCTTTTGGTGGAACCTTTACTTGTCAAGGGTACCAGACTTGCACAAGAGCTACACACTGTCACACAACCCCAGTCCCTGTTTGTTTTTCTACACACCCAGGTTCACTTTCGGGCATGACATGTACTTTTCACCCTTTTCCGCTGCTACCAGAGGATATGTTCTTCTCTGTACCAAATATGACTATTAGATCAGTGTTGTCCGATATATCAGTGTTTAATTATGGGTTTGTAGGTAAATTTATTTATTTATTTATTTATTTATTGAATTTATATGCCGCCCACTTTACCCATATAAAGAAAATCATGGATGGTCTTTTATTATTCATTCAATAAACATTGCTTTGATTACATTTACGATTGCTTATGTAGATTCACTTTAATCAAGGTATTTGTATATTCAACTATTTATTTCTTAGCACTTTTAACTCTTTCCAATCTTAACCACGTAAACTTTCCAAGGCTTATCCTATTCCTATATTTTCAATCTCTTTCTCTATCTCTCCGTTACTCTTCTCTCTAACACAACCACAGCCCTAACTGCCTAAACCAGTGGTGTCGAACTGTGGCCCTCCAGATGTTCTTGGACTTCAACTCCCAGAAGCCTTCACCACCACCTCTGCTGGCCAGGATTTCTGGGAGTTGAAGGCCAAGAACATCTGGAGGGCCACAGTTCGACACCACTGGCCTAAACTGTCCTAACTGTCTTTTTTCCTCTCCTTTTATTTCCCTGGTTCCGCCCCTCCTGTCATGTCATTGGCTCCCACATCAGCTCTGACCTGACTGATAGGAGTGTTCATCACACACACATATTAACACTTTCGCAGTGAAGCAAGGGCAACACACATGTGAACAGTATCCCCCGTCATTGCTTCCTGTTGCAAATGGATTTTTACATTGTACAGGGAGTTGAACCACCTGATATTTTGTTCTTGGGAGAGTTTAGTTAGTTCCAGGGATATGGCAAGGACTGTCACAGCATTTTTGCCTCATATACTCATTTTCTGGATATCATAATATAAATGGAAGCCAAGAGCTTGAAAAGGTGACAAATCTATCATCCCACATCAGACTTAGATGGTTTGCTCTGAACACAATTCCATTAAAAAAATTCTTATCAGAAAATTGGTATGTCAGGGAAAAGCTGAACTAGAAACCTGTTCTCTCTTGCATTAGGGTTTGTGTTTTATTGTTTTGCTTTAAATACTGTATACATTTCCCCCAAAAAAATATGCAGCAGCCTTTTGCTATATGAGAAAGCAGCTCACATCTGAAGCTAGCTTACATCCTCATCTACTACTTTTATTAAACATTTCCTAGATAAGTTTGAAGAAGACACACACAGCTTGACAGGGACACAGGATTTGGGCTGATATGTTCTTGTACAGATCACTATGCAAACAATCAAAGTGTGGGTTTAGGCACACAGATGTGGTAGAGCTTGCTTTCATAAGTGTAATCTCTTCCCCTATCACTTGCGTACAAACAATAATCATCATCATCATCTTAGAACTGCATGAGAGCACAAGTCTTGTTTAGTACAGAGGTTCTATGCATGACTGAACAGGTTAGAAACTGTGAGGGGAGTCTGCCTTGTAAAACAGACCATGGATGCTATCTAATATCAGAAAATTGCCAAGTGTTCAGTTATTTATCACAATGCAAATGACACTGTGGAATGCTATTTGGATTTTTATTTCTCAGAAAATGTCTTATTGTGTATTTATTTATCACACTTATAGACTTCCTTTCCACTGCAAAGCAGCATTCAAGGGAGCCTATAATCTTCATAACATAATGAAAACAAGTAAAAATAAATTTAACTATAAAACAGTAAAAGCAAGTAAAAGCGACCCAGCTGCGGGAAAGAATTATTATTAACATCAACAAAACATATTAAAATCATGAAAATCAAAGAAAAGTACACTTAAAAACAACACAAGCAGGCAGCTTAAACATCATCTGCCAGTATCAAAAGATGTGTCTTTACACTGTTTTTTAAATCGGTTGGAGTTAAAACT